TCCATCAAGGGGGGCTGCAGCTGAGGCACTGGAAGGTTCACCTGTCCATCAAGGGGGGCTGCAGCTGAGGCACTGGAAGGTTCACCTTTCCACTTGGGGTGCTGTGCTGGTGTCGGGCGCTGCAGGTGCCCGGTGCTGAGAGCGTGGGCAAGTCCTGTTTGTATCTCCTGGCATGGATTCTGCTCTGCCTTTTGTTTCAGGTACTCATGAGCTTAAACCAGAACAGCTATTCTGTGGGCCCTGGTGAAGGTCAGTGTCTGTTCTGAGCTGGCAGTGGTTTTAAATGAAATATTGCAGGCTCCTCTTTCCTGTGCCTGCCTTCTCAGCACAGAGCGCACAAAGCGGGAGACGCTATAGGGGCTTAGTGCTCTCCCACACTGAGTTTTGGAGGGTCATTTTTCCTTTTAAAAATCACAGCACCTCCCCAGGAGCTGGACACACAGGGGCTGAGCTCTGGTCATGCTTTGTGACTGGTCACAACTTTTGAGGCATATCAGTGCATCTGGAATACAGCTCTCCAGTCCTCATGAGCTTGGTGAGCCATCAGCTGTCTCTCCAATACTGCTGGGAATTGATGAATGATAAACACCACTTAAAAGCCCAAGAAAACATCCCTGGATTAACACCAGCTGCAGTGAGGTCAAGAAAGTGAATGGGGTGACCACAGTTACACTGAATGTGGTATGACCTAGGAGCAAATAGGTGTTTGTCACCTCACAGGGCTACCATGGCATTTGTGGTATTTTCCTTTCAGTCACTGGGGCATGGTCCTGTGTCAGCAGCTCAGGATGCTGCAGAAGGGAGAATGGCTGCCCTGGGAGAGTATGACAGCCAGCATCCATGTGCCTGGTTGTTCTGTAGCAGATGCTGTGACAGGAGGAGGGTGACTCAAGCGGTTCATGCCATCCATGGGCTCCTGTATGTTTCTGAAAAGTTAAGCGTTACTTCACAGAAATCGTGGAGTGTTGTAAACAATCACCTACAGGCTGAAAAGAAAGCCAGAAGCTGTTAAGAGGTTTGCCCTTTGCCATACCACCATGCTGGTTGTACATTTCCCGTGAAAGCAGGAATCTGCCCTGACATTGTTGATGGCGTTGAGCAGAGAAGAGCAGGTGGGTGTCAGGCAGGGAAGCTGTGCGAGTGTCTCACTGTGTGCAGGTGGTTTTTGAACTTCAGTGGTGTGGGAATCCAGGGCAGCCAGAGGGATGGGACCCTGGCAGAGGGTCAGGAACCCCCCTGGACAGAGCCCCCAGAGACACTGTCTGTGATGTCTGTCCATGGAAAAGAGTTTTCATATGAATTACAAGCTCTGAGTGTTTGATATAAGGAATAATTAAGTGTGGCACGGGTGCAAAAGTAAAATTTTAGGAATCTAGATTAGGGGTCCAAAGGGGACAAGATGGAGGAAATTGGGTGTGCCTTGTCCTTTTTCTCCTCCTTCATGCCCTCCATGTCTCACTGTGGTGTTGGCATTTTTCTGTTGGTTCAGGCTGGGGACACACTGTCCAATGTAGGTGACAGATATTGGCACGTTATTGTAAATCCAGCCCAGGGAGTTTCTGGTATTTAATGTTTGTAACATCCCACTGAGGGCAGAGCCCCACACGCTGCCCTGCAGGACAGAGCTGGGCAGGGCAGCAGAACATGTTAGAGATAAACAGAATAAACAACCTTGAAACCAGCACAGACCAATTATGGCTTCTGCTTTGGCAGCGGGGCAGAAAGACAGAGACTTCAGAGACCTCAGAATCATCAATACCACAGATTCCGACACAGTGATGAGGGAAGGCTGGTGGTGATGCTGTCCAAGCATTTGGGGTGGGCAGCAGGGTTTGGTTTGCTTTCTGCTTTGTTTGAAGCAGTTCTCCTTGTTGATGAATCCTGAAGGGTGTAGTGTGGGTTTGGATCCAGTTGGGAACTAAGTGATGCTGGGAAAGAGAGGAGCCTATGCTGGAAAAGTAGGAGACCAGGTTTAAATCAGCACCTGGCAGAGATGCTGCATGTGCTTGTCAGATACCCCTGGTGAGGGTCAGGCAGGGAAGAACTGTTCCAGATGTTCACCTGGAGACACCTGACAGCACAGCCCGTCCACGTGGAGCCCCCATCACAGCTGAGCCTGCTTGTGGGGCTGGGAGCACCTGGCCTTTGCTTCATGCTCTGCTGATGCTTCACTACTGAGCAGGCTGAGATACTGCTGCAGTGTTTAAACCACGCTGCTGATGATTGTTTTCCAGTAGAGCCTTAAGAGAAGTTTTTACAGGACTTGCGCACGCTCCGGAGGGCCAGCATGGAGGTGTTTGCAGGAAAGCACAGTTTAACCCATTGCTCTGATGTAACTGAGGCTTGCTTTCCAAGCATCTCGCTAGGAAAATGGAATGGGCCATAAATACTTAATTGGCTGATAGCTCTGGCTCACACTGTGTAGCTGGAAATGTTCCTCCCCAAATAACTGAGCATCATTTAGCTTGCAGTCAAAACAGGAGGTTCCCTTTGCAAAAGGCAAGCGCAGCACCCGCAGTCACCGCTCCCGACAACGTTGAGCCTGCTGGTAAATAAGGGCTGCAACCTATGTTTAAAATAAGAGCTGCTGTGAGCACTGATTTCCAGCCTGGAGTGTTTTGGGTTCCCTGTGGCATTCCTCCGCCAGCCCCTGCTGGCAGTTGGTGTGAGCGTGGTTGTGGCAGCGTGGTGCAGCTCTGTGGGAGTTAACACATCCCTGATGGTTCAGCTCCCTCTCCTCTGACCCTCAGCCTCCTCCAGCAAGAGCCTCGGGTCTTTCACCCTCACGCTTGGCCTCCTGCAGCCAACAGCTCATATGGAGCAGTCTGACAGTGCTGCTGCTCCTCAGCTCGCAGCCTGGTTGCCGGTGTCTCACCTCTAGGCTGGGGAGATCCTCGTCCTTGCAGCCCCTCCATACCCAGTCTGTGTCCCGGCCATCAGGCTATGGCCAGATCCCTCTTTCTATCCCTGACGTGTTCTGTTCCCCAGCTGCTCTGAAATGGGAGGCAGGGGAAACAAAGGTGTGCACCCTCATGAGAATCCAGTCTCCCATGAAAGCTCCTGGCCCAGGCTGGGGACGTCTGGCCTGGCCCCAGCTTCTGTCTCTGATGGGATTCGTGCTTACAAATGGCTCAGCCAGCCACACCATCATCCCCCAGCCATGAGGTGACCGTGTCCCACTCAGTCAAGGAGCTGTCACCTTCGCTGGCAGCAGGTACCTTCACTGTCAACTGTGCCAGCTTATTTCCCAGTGTGAATCTTAGGGTCTGCATCTGGTCCTGCAGGTTTGCTTCCTTCTGAAGGGCTGGAGTGTCGCTGTTGAGGCAGGACGGGAATGAGAAGACTCTGACTCTAAGGCTGCTGAGAGTGAAACTCCGGTTTATTCAAAATACACTGCTGTTTTATACAGAGCTTCGTGAGGACCAACTCCATTGGTCCTGAAGTGAAAACAACCCATAGCATTGGTGCAGAGTGCTTGACGCACAGT